AGGGGTGTCCCAGGCCCAGCTGACAAAGCCCACGATGTGGGCCGCAACTGTGAGGCCCGTCTCAGGCCAGGAGCATGCTTTGGGCCTGAGGTCACCCAGGTATTGGGCTGTAGCCAACTTGGCCCCATAAACAGTTTCTATTCCTGGGTCTTGGGCTCTGACACCAAATATGGCATGGCCCTGTCTGGCATGCCCAGCTGTGGTCCAGCAACATCTCCTGCCCCTCCAGGTGGGCCCAGACCCCACCCACACCATGGAGGCAGATCATTCCAGCACTTGGAGCCCCCAAATGGCCAGAGGCCTGTGCTGCTGCTCCTGGTCCTCCAACTGTCCACCCATCCTCGTGATTCACGTGGGGTTAAAATTACCCAGGACCAAAATAGCCCCTCTCCCTACAGAAGAAAGATGGGGCTGGGGGACAGTGTGTTTTGTTTTACACCAAAGTCCTGTCTTGCTGCCCACATCCCAGGGAGCTCACCTGGCCTCTGACCCCACATCGATCTGCACACTCACTCATTAATTCACTCACTCATTGATTCATTCATTTACTGATCGTTTATTAATTTTTCTTTTTCTTTTTTTAATTTTGAGACAGAGTTTCGCTCTTGTTACCCAGGCTGGAGTGCAATGGCATGATCTTGGCTCGCCGCAACCTCCGCTTCCTGGGTTCAGGCAATTTTCCTGCCTCAGCCTCCTCAATAGCTGGGATTACAGGCACACGCCACCATGCCCAGCTAATTTTTTGTATTTTTAGGAGAGACGGGGTTTCACCACGTTGACCAGGATGGTCTCGATCTCTTGACCTCGTGATCCACCAGCCTCGGCCTCCCAAAGTGCTGGGATTACAGGCTTGAGCCACCGTGCCCAGCTTTTTTTTTTTTTTTAAAGATGGGGTTTCCCCATGATGGCCAGACTGGTCTTGAACTCCTGACCTCAGGTGATCCACTCAGCTCAGCCTCCCAAAGTGCTAGGATTACAGATGTGAGCCACCGCGCCTGGCTATGGATCATTTATTAATGGACTTGGTGGTTAATTCATGTAATCACAATTTACTGACTACATGCTAAGAGCTGGGCACTGTTCTATTGTTCTAGAGCTGAGCAAAACACAAAACATAAGGCCAAGCGCAGTGGCTCATGCCTGTAATTGCAGCACTTTGGGAGGCCAAGGCGGGCAGATCACAAAATTGGGAGTTCAAGTCCAGCCTCGCCAATATGTTGAAACCCGTCTCAACCAAAAATACAAAAATTAGCTGGGCATGGTGTGGGCACCTGTCAGGAGGCTGAGGCAGGAGAATCACTTAAACTAAGGCAGCAGACATTGCAGTAAGCCAAGATTGCAGCACTGCGCTCCAGCCTGGGTGTCAGCGAGACTCTGTCTCAAAAAAAAAAAAAAAAACACACACACACACACACACAAAACATAGCTATCCTCATAGGGTTATGTTCCAGACAGACAAGCAAAGCAAACAAGTAGGATGTACAGTGTGTTAGAATAAGTGCAAGGATGAGTAACCTAATGAGGGGGCTCTGAAGCGATGGGGGGGGATGGGAATTTCAGGGGGCCCAGGGAGGACCTGGTGGGAAGGGGACTTTTGAGTGGACACCTGAGGGAACAACCTTCCAAGCAGAAGGACACCAAGGCTCTGGCATCCACACGAGGCCTGAGAAACAGGTGGCCAGGTGTGGTGTGGCTGGGGCACAGGTGGCGGGGAGAGCAGCAGAATATGAGGTCAGGCTGTGGGGGACACATGGGGCCCAGTGGATCAGGACTTCCCACATCACTCAGGGTCTGACCTGAGAATGACATGGCCAACGTATTTGTAAATTATCCTGCTGGCTGTTGAGTGAGTGGGTCAGAGTGAGCCTTTTCCCCATGTGCCTACCGTGTGCTGAGCTCCAAGCCGGGTAGTGGGGAGAGAAGACACAGGTGCACACTGGACGCTTGTCCCTATGGTGCTTACGGAGGTCTGGAGCCACCGCATCTCCTCCGTCTGACATGCTCATCCTTGGTGCTTAACCAAGTGTCACTTCCCTGAGGGAGTCACCATCTTTGTTTGTGTCCTTTTTTTGAGACAGAGTTTCACTCTTGTTGCCTAGGCTAGAGTGCAATGGTGCGATCTCAGCTGACTGAAACCTCTGCCTCCTGGGTTCAAGCGATTCTCCTGCCTCAGCCTCCTGAGTAGCTGGGAATTACATGCATGTACCACCACACCCGGCTAATTTTTTATGTTTGATAGAGATGAGGTTTCTTCATTTTGGTCAGGTGGGTCTCGAACTCCTGACCTCAGGTGATCCCCACCTCGGTCTCCCAAAGTGCTGGAGCCACTATGCCTGGCTTTTTATCTTTTTTATTTTATTTATAGAGATTAGGTTTCACCTTGTTGGTTAGGGTGGTTTCGAACTCCTGACCTCAGGTGATCCACCCACCTCGGCCTCCCAAAGTGAGCCATTATTTCTTTTTTTAAGATAGTCTGTGCATTGGAACAACAACAAAAAAAGTTTGTCTTTCTCACCCAGGCTGGGGTGCAGTGGCGCAATCTTGGCTTACCACAACCTCTGCCTCCTGGGTTCAAGCAGTTCTCCTGCCTCAGCCTCCTGAGTAGGTGGGATTACAGGTGTGCGCCACCACACCTGGCTAATTTTTGGACTTTTAGCAGAGACAGGGTTTTGCCATGTTGGCCAGGCTGTCTCAAACTCTTGACCGCAAGTGATCAGACTTCCTCGGACTCCCAAAGTGCTGGAATTACAGACATGAGCCATGAGACCTGACCGCTGTTTCTAAATGGTGCTCCCACAAGGCTGATAGCTCCTTCAAGGCAAGGCTGTGTCTGATTCTCCTTTTCTCCTGGGTACCAGTGCAGGGCCTGCCCTGTCCCTGAGTGTCCGGTGGAGCAAGTCAATGAATCAGTGAACACGAGTCCCAGGCCTGATTTGTGTGTGTGGCCAGGGATACAAGGCCTCTGAGAGCCAGTGGCCTGTCTCACTCAGGGACACAAGGCCTCTGAGAGCCAGCGGCCTGTCTCACTCAGGGACGCAAGGCCTCTGAGAGCCAGCGGCCTGTCTCACTCGGGGTTACAAGCCTCTGAGAGCCAGCGGCCTGTCTCACTCGGGGATACAAGCCTCTGAGAGCTGGCGGCATGTCTCACTCTCTTCTTGCCATCTTTTGCAGATGAATTTGGAGGCACTGCAAGTGAAGGGCCGTATTTGTGTTGGCAAAGAAGGTCGGCCGCTGAGCCAGGGTGTGTCTCCCGGAGGCCTGCGGGCTGCCAGGATCCCCACTCTCTGCCACGGGCTGCCAAGGCTGGTCAGTTACTAGCCAGCGATATCATCAAGGTTCCCTGCTCTCTACCCTGGTAAGGGCCCAGCCTACGTCACCAAGCCCCAGGCTCCCAGAACCACACGCACAGGCTCACAGCCCATGTGAGATTACCACTCCAGCTTCTGCCTGTCCTTGGGAGGGGACCAACTCCCAGCTCCCATTAGTGCCCAGGTTGCACCCAGTCCCTTGACCTTGTGCCCAGGTTCTCTGGCACCTAATGTAGAAATGATGCAACTGCCCCCAGGCTTGCTGAGGGCCAGAGGGGGTAAGTTTGTCACAGAGCACTTAGAAATCATTGAGTCATTGCTGGTCCTGCTAGCTGTTAACAGTCGATATGGCTCAGGTCAGCTTCCACCGAGGTCCTTCAACACACGGGGTACACTGGCTAGCCACCTCTCCTAGGCAGGGTGGTGCAGTGGTGAGGGCAGGGACCTCAGCCAGGTGGCCTGGGATCTAACTCCTGTGCTGTCACTGCTGGCTGTGAGGTGGAGTCCCATGCCTCCCAGGTGTCCACACAGCCTTGCCACCAGGAGCAGAGTCCAAGTCTGTCTTGTTCTTCCAACCACCTGCGAGGAACCTGTGCATGTTCCTGGCCACCAGCCAAGTGGACATCACCAGGAAAGAGTGAGGTCCAAGGCAGAAGGACCAGTCAGCGTCACAGCCTGCAGCACGACCTCCCTGGTTCTTTCCCACCTGTGTCTATGAGAAGCACAGCCCAGGGTCCGGGCTGGACAGCCAGGGGACTCAAAGACCCCCTTGTGTCTGGGGCAAAGGGCTCTGGGACGCAGTAGGCATCCCATCCTTTGTGCCTGGAGCAGGCACCCTGTGAGTGTACCTGCCGGGCCAGCCCTCAGCAAGCCAGCACCTGGACACCTGGGCCTGCCAGAGCCCCAGGCCTCATGCTGAATGTCCACAGGCCCACTCAGTGGCCTGCCCTCGGATGAGCCTCAGGTCTGGCTCATGGAGCTGAGGCGGGCAGGAGCTGGACCTCAAATCCCAGGCTGCCCCTCCTAACAGAGCCCTGTGTGTCACATGGCAAAGCCATCGCTTCTGACAGTTCTTATACAGACCACACTCTGGCCTGGGCTTGTGATGGCGGCATGCCATGGGTGGCACTGGCCGGTCCTTGGGGGAGCTCACAGGCGTGAGTGGAAGGGATCCTGCTCCAACCCCAGTCCACAGCCCGCTGTGCTCCCTTTTGGTTTTTTTCAGATGAGTCTCACTCTTGCCAGGCAGGAGCGCAGCGGTGCAATCTCAGCTCACTGCCACCTCTGGCTCCCAGGTTCAAGCAATTCTCCTTCTCAGCCTCCCTAGTAGCTGGGACTACAGGTGCGTGCCACCACATCCAGCTAATTTTTTGTATTTTTTTCCTTTTCTTTGTTTCTCATTTTAACTGATTCTGCAATAAATTTTTGTATTTTTAGTAGAGAAGGGGTTTCACCATGTTGGCCAGGATGGTCCCGATCTCTTGACCTCGTGATCTGCCTGCCTCGGCCTCCCAAAGTGCTGGGATTACAGGCATGGGCCACTGCACCTGGCCAGTGCTCTCACTTTGTAGGTGAGCAGCTGGTAGGCTAGAATTCAAGCCTTGGCCTCTGTGGCCCTGGGAGCCCATGGCTTGGAAGCTGGGCTTGGCTCTGGCTGATGGTCACAGGAAGCGTTTTTCTTTGAGTTGGAAATGCCAGTGGCCTCCCTGATGGCAGGTGCTCATGTCTTACGGACCAGCCAGTTCCTGCTGGAAGCCCCTGGTCTGATCTAGGAAGATCATGTCCAAGCCCCCCGACCTCATGCTGCGGCTGCTCCGGGGCACCCCAAGGCAGTGGGTCTGCACCCTGTTCATTCATCATCGGCTTCAAGTTCATGTTTTGCATCTCCATCATGATCTACTGGCACATTGTGGGAGAGCCCAAGGAGCAATGGCAGCTCTATAACCTGCTGGCAGATATTCTTTGCCCCACCATGGCACCCCTCACCCCTCCCTCTTACAGCCCCCCTCTGGGCAAGATCTTCTTCCTAGAGACTTCGGACCACACCAACCCCAACTTCCTCTTCATGTGCTCAGTGGAGTCAGCCGCCAGAACTCACCCCAATCCCGTGTGCTGGTCCTGATGAAAGGGCTTCCAGGTGGCAATGCCTCCCTGCCCTGGCACCTGGGCATCTCGCTTCTGAGCTGCTTTCCCAATGTCCAGATGCTCCCACTGGACCTGCAGGAGCTATTCCGGGACACACCTCTGGCTGACTGGTACACAGCGGTGCAGGGGCGCTGGGAGCCCTACCTGCTGCCCGTGCTGTCTGATGCCTCCAGGATCACACTCATGTGGAAGTTCGGTGGCATCTACCTGGACATGAACTTCATTGTCCTCAAGAACCTGAGGAACCTGACCTGACCAACGTGCTGGGCACCCAGTCCCTCTATGTCCTCAATGGCCCCTTCCTGGCCTTCGAGTGCCAGCACGAGTTCATGGAGCTGTGCATGTGGGACTTCATGGACCACTACAACGGCTGGATCTGGGGCCACCAGGGCCCCCAGCTGCTCACACATGTCTTCAAGAAGTGGTGCTCCAACTACAGGCTCACTGAGAGCCACGCCTGCCACGGGGTCACCACCCTGCCCCCTGAGGCCTTCTACCCCATCCCCTGGCAGGACTGGAAGAAGTATTTTGAGGACATCAGCCCCTAGGAGCTGCCCCAGCTGCTCAATGCCACCTATGCTGTCCACGTGTGGAACAAGAAGAGCCAGGGCACACACTTCGAGGTCACGTCTAGGGCGCTGCTGCCCCAGCTCCATTCCCGCTACTGCCCCACAATGCATGAGGTCATGAAAATGTACTTGTGAGGGGCCCACCAGGCCACCTCCCCGACCCACTCCCGATGGAGGGGGCACTTGGCCACCCTTACTGGGGAGGCGAGATTGAGGACCCAGGAGAGGGAGGTCTGAGCTGCCACCAGGCTTAGGCTGTTGCAAAGGAGGAGCTGTGGGAGCAGGCCCAGTGGGAGGCTGTGGACACCCTCAAGACAGTGCCCTGTGTCAGGGCAAAGCTGACACGTGGTGCCAGGGCCAGCAGAGTGAGCTCAGTGAGTGCCCCGGGACTTCTGGATGGCAGAGAGAAGGATGAACCTTAGGGCACCCCTGGGTGGCATGGGAAGCCAGACGGTTTGGGCAGAGGTGCCCTTGAGGCCAGTGCTAAGGGGAAGGAGGGATGAGATTCCAGAGAGGAGAGGAGGCAGAAAGAGGTAGGAGAGCGGGGGTGGGGGGAGACCCAGCCCCAGGGCCCAGGGTGGGGAGTGCTTTTCTCTTTTCTGGTTTTGGTTCCTCTTTCAAGGGGCCATCAGGGACTGAGCAGGGCAGAGGCCCAGCAGTGCCAGCCTGGGGAGCCCATTAGGGGCAGCCCCCCCTCCTGCCCACCCCATCCTTCCTCCTCTCCAGAGATGAAAGGGGGGGCATGTACCCTCTGCCTATTCACTCAGACAAGGGGTGGGGGTTCTCTAAAGAAAACACCCCCTCCCCATTATAAATACAGGAGAATAATAAACAGAATAAAAGTTACCGATCGTCACCTAGTGCCCTGTGATTGCTGAAGTGCATTCAGGCTCACAGCCTCCTCTGCTTCGTTCTTCTGACCAGGAAGCTGCTGGGTGGACTGGCGGTGAATTTGATGAGTTCTCACAACCTGCCCTGCACGGAAGAGCTCGGAACCTGGCTCCTAGCCTGGCATCCCTAGTGATCGGGAGCCCCTGAGGTGGGGAATGGGGGAGGCCTGTTTTTCCCTCCTTTTTCAAGGCTCGCAAACACCCGAGGATGAGTCCCACCAGCACAACCACCCCCATGACAACCCTCAATCTGTTTCACATAAATGGATCCAAATGAGGACACTGACAAGCCTACCAGTGGAGCAGGGGGGTGAGCCACAGCCTGTCCAGGGAGGGGTCCCAGCGAGGGAGCTTTGAGGGCCTGTGGGGTCCCTCTGGCCTCAGCCTGGATGCCTGGCTGAGATCCTGAGAGGGACCTGAAGGGCCTGTGGGTGGCTCCAGGGCTGGGCCACAGGGATATCTGCTCCCTACATGGTGAGGCCCCAGCTGGTTGGCATTGTGGAAGCTGCCTGGGCATTCCCACCAGGCTGGAAGAGAGCTGCCCAGTGGAACTGGGGCTGCTGCCAGGAGCACTGAAGCTCAGCACGCTGCTTTTTGGCAGTCGAAGCAGAAGATGTTCATTAGGCTCTGTTTTCTGCCCACAGACCATCTTGGGTGGCATGGGAAGGAGGTGAGCTCCTTGGCTCTTAGGGGTATTCAAGAGTAGGTTATGTGTTTTGGGTTTTTTTTTTCTTTTGAGATGGAGTCTTGTTCTGTCACCCAGGCTGGAGTGCAGTGGCCCCATCTTGGCTCACTGTAACCTCCACTTCCTGGTGGGTTCAAGTGATTCCCTGCCTCAGCCTCCCAAATAGCTGGGACTAAAGGCACGCACCACCAAGCCAGTTAACTTTGTATTTTTAGTAGAGATGGGGTTTTGCCATGTTGGCCAGGCTGGTCTCGAATTCCTGACCCCAAGTGATCTGCCTGCCTGGGTCTCCCAAAGTTCTGGGATTACAGGCAGGAGCTGCTGTGGGTTTTTTTTTTTCTTTTGAGATGGAGTCTTGTTCTGTCACCCAGGCTGGAGTGCAGTGGCCCCATCTTGGCTCACTGTAACCTCCACTTCCTGGGTTCAAGTGATTCTCCTGCCTCAGCCTCCCAAATAGCTGGGACTAAAGGCACGCACCACCAAGCCAGTTAACTTTGTTTTTTAGTAGAGATGGGGTTTTGCCATGTTGGCCAGGCTGGTCTCGAATTCCTGACCCCAAGTGATCTGCCTGCCTGGGTCTCCCAAGTTCTGGGATTACAGGCAGGAGCTGCTGTGCCGGCCCTTAGGGTTTTTAGGTTGGCCAAAGTGTGGAGATCCTTCACTGGCTGAAGAGTGTAGGGTGAGATCCTGGGACAGGGAGAAGAAGAAAATGTGTTCTCACACTGATTTCATTGATCTGTTGGCGGGGGGTCTTTGCTGTTTCACAGGAATTTGGGATCTGAAAAACATCTTAAGCTCATGCCTGTAAACCCATCACTTTGGGAACCAAGGTGAGTGGATCACCTGAGATCAGGAGTTCAAGACCCGCCTGGCCAATGTGGTGAAACCCCACCTCTACTAAAATTACAAAAATGAGCCAGGCACAGTGGCGGGCACCTGCAATCCTGGCTACTCTGGAGGCTGAGGCAGGAGAATCATATGAACCTGGGAGGCAGAGGTTATAGTGCTCTAAGATCACACCCACCACTGCACTCCAGCCTGGGTAACAGAGAGAGACTCTGTCAAAAAAAAAATATGTGCATAAATGTCTGCTTTGGGCAGAGAGGTGGGCAGGAGGTGCCAGTTCCCAGGGAGGGTGCTGTTGACTCCTCATCCACAGCCATTCTCCTCCCACATCTTTTTTGCTAAGGGAACCCCAATTTTGTTCTACCCTCAGGTAGCCTAGGGCTGTAGAGGAAGTGAACCCTCCCTCGGCCCTGGGGGTGAATCTCCATTGGTCTAAGGCAGTCCTAGTCGGTCCAGTCCCTTCCTAGTAATTGGAGTGGAAATGGGCATGCAATGCCATTCTGGCCAATGAGAGGGAAAGTCAGCTGGAAAGGGGGTGTCTGAGAAATTTTCATAGACAAGAAAGCAACATTTCTTTCCACATTTCGCATAAGAGTGTAATGGTCAGCACAATGGCAGCCATCTTGAGGCCATGAGGGGACAAGTCTGAGATCAGAAGTCACCACACCAGATCCTTGAAGACACGGAGATCTCACGAGCTGCTGAAATAACCAACCCTGGAGGTGGCCTATCCTGACTCCCTTGTCTACCACGTGTGTTAGATGCTGTTAACTGTCCTCAAGTGTGCAGTCTTTCTGCAGTCCTTAGTGATAGGACACACTGAGTTCTAGGTGGGCATGTCACCTCCCCTTGGCAGCTGGCTGCGGCCATGTGACTAAGTCCAGGCCAACGGGGTGTGACAGAAGTGATGTTGTGTGAGTCATGGATGATCTCAGACATTTGCTTTGGGCACTCCCCGCTTCCCCACTGGCTGGAGCATGGCAGCAACTGGAGCACTTTGCAGGGAACATTTTGGGGGTGGCAGAGTGGACCCAGTGGCCTTGGAGCACTCACCCTGGGACTGTGATGTGAGACAGTCTTTTTTTTTGTGACAGAGTTCCGCTCTGTTGCCCAGGCTGGAGTGCAGTGGCGCAATCTCAGCTTGCTGCAACCTCCACCTCCTGGGTTCAAGTGATTCTCCTGCCTCAGCCTCCCAGTAGCTGGGGCTACAGGTGTGCGCCACCACACCCAGCTATTTTTTTTTTTTTTTTTGAGACGAGTTTCACTCTTGTTTGCCCAGGCTTTATTGCAATGGCGCAATCTCGCTCACTGCAACCTCCGCCTCCCAGGTTCAAGCGATTCTCCCACCTCATCCTCCAGAGTAGCTGGGATTATAGGCATCAACCACAACCAGCTAATTTGTATTTTTTGGAGAGATGAGGGTTTTTCCATGTTGGTCATGCTGTTCTTGAACTCCCGGCCTCAGATGATCTGCCTGTCTCAGCCTCCAAAAGTACTGGGATTACAGGCATGAGTCACAGTGCCAGACCTATTTTTTTTTTATTTTTAGTAGAGACAGGATTTCACTATGTTGGCCAGGCTGGTCTTCAACCACTCCTGACTTCAGGTGATCTGACCGTCTTGGCCTCCCAAAGTGCTGGGATGACAGGAGTGAACCATCATGCCTTGCCTGGCCTGGCCTCGTTTCTCTCCTTGGAAGTTGTGGGGGCTGGGCTGAGTCTTGACAGTGGACCACAGCTGGAAGGAATGTCATTCCCTCTGAGCTCAGGTCTCACTTCCCGTCAGTTTCCTGCTGCTGCTGCACCCACACTGGAAGGGGATGCTCCTCCCGGCCCACCCTGCATTGCAGCACAGGTCACACCTGAGTGCAGTTAGGGCTTAAAACCTGCTTGAGGGCTTGAGGCCACACTGACGCCTAGCCTCACAGCAGAATTCCCAGCATGCCTTGTACACTGGGCTGGTCCAGGTTAGAACATGCAGAGATTTAGGAACAAGTGAAGCATGAAACCA